TGATGCAACTTAACTGGAACACTTGCTCGCTTTTTGTATAATTCAATGAAGTACTTGTTTTCAACACTAAAAGAAACTGATTACATCGAACGTTTTAAGTAACTGAACTCATTTGTAAGTAAAATAAACATCTTGGACAAGTAGGCTTTAATAATTTACTACTTAATTTGACCATTTTTATTTGTATTTGTGAAAATAAAAACCCTAGTAAAAACAAGAATGTTTTTTAACTTACAAAAAGTTTGGTGTTATTAAAATGTTCTTGACTTATTTACTGTTGTATTATTTAATATCTAAACTCTGATGACCTGAAAACAAAGCTGCATTGGAAGCAGTCAAGGGAGAATAAAAACATGAATCTGTCAAAAAAAAGAAAGCCAATTAAGTTGTATGATTGTTAAATATTATAAAATATACATAATAGAGACAGAAAATTGTATAAAAAGTTCCCAAAAATATCTTAAAAACACATCTCTGATTAATATTAACAGGAAATAATCTGCTCAAATTTCATCAAAATCTGGTTTTACCACAAACTTCCTGCAGTTACTGAGTTCATTGATTGTTGATCAGCTTGGGAAAACAGTGTGCTAAAGTCAGTCACTTTCCACCACTGTTCCTGTTTACCAGCCCTGTGATCAACACCCACTGATTCCCTTTTATTGATCCCTGACACACACACACACACACACACACACACAGTGAGAGGAGTAAAGTGCTCTCTGCATTGTTGTTTTATTGGTTCACACACTGATTACATCTGATCACATTTTAATATTGATAAGACTCGGAACGCACACCAGAGAAATCATCATCATCATCAGTATAATAAATTTAAAAAAGAAAAGCTTTACATACGGTAGCCTCCTGATATGAACCGAGGAGAATAAACCTCGAGGATCTTCTGAGGCCGTTCAGGAACGTGAGCGAATGCTGATTAATGGAATATGGATTGATTATTAATCTAAAGTGAGCAGTAATCCTATCAAAGCACTGATACTAAGGGTTGAACTGTGCCCTGTCTGAGAGCTTCAGTGCTACAAACAGTCAAATAAATAAAGAGAAGCACCACAGAGTCTGTCTTATAATAATTCACCCACTTATGTTTGTTAATGTGACTCAAACACAGGCTCCCTAATCAATAAGAGTTAAATCTGCAGTGTTTGTACAATTGCTTTGGCTCAGTTTGACTCCATGTCTCCTTATTTTAACATCATTACCAGAAGAGGAGCAATGCAACATAAAGTATTGGTAAGAAACTGGTGATATGACACAATACAGTGGGTTAAGATTTAATATATATAAGATAATATATAATCAATATATTGTGATATAGGTAAGGGAGGGTGACCAGGTGTGGTTGTGAAGAGAAAGCAGGAAGGATGAAAAGTGCCACAAAGAACAGGAAATGTACAAAGACTGCTACTGCGACTATCAAGAAAAGTTTCATTAGAAGTAAAAATACATTTAAATCCTTCGCTTAAGGAACCTTTAACCTCAATCGTTTGCTACTGAATCAACCACAGGACAAAGCAAACAGATGTTACGAGCTAAAGGAACGAATAGGAATGTTTAAGTTAGACAGATGGTGACATGTTTTTCAGCATTTTCTATAGTTAACTTTACAAAATAGATTATAAATTACATATCTAATGTTCGGCGTCTTGAATAAAAACAAACTTTGTGGTCAAACAGAAACTCGATACCTAGGTATAAATGTAGGATGTAATGACTCTAGACTATATTATCTGTATTTACAGTATTTGATAAATAAAAAACACCAAAAGATCGTTTTAAATATTCACTTCTAAGTACGTTGCTTTCATTTCTGGTTGTTATGATGAAATGATGTCGCTGTTTTATAATATAAAGACTTTATAAGACAGTTTCATTTGATAATTATATTTTAAAATCCAACATTGATTAAAACTGAACATAATGCTCTGATAAACTTTGATACATTATGTATTAGCTAATGATTATTTTAATCATCATTATCAATCTGCTGATGGTTTCTTTGATTAATCCACTGATTGTTGAGCTTTTATAGAAAATAATTGTTTTGTACAACTAAAATTAAAACAATCCAAAGATATCCAGTTTACAATCATAGAAAATAGATCAATGTTTGGTATTTTTGTTTAAAAAGTGACGTGAAAATGATCTTTTAAAGCTCTAATATATCAGTTTTGTGAGTTTTTGAGGACATCATATTGAGTTAAAGCATTTTGTGCAATAACTTTTAATTTTCTGTTGAGCCAAAGCAACCGTGATAAATACTGTAAAAGCAGTTTGAGGAGAAGTAACTGAAAATCTTCCTCTCGGGGGTCCAACTGCTCAGATTTGTATCATGAACTCTGCGTTTGAGTCACACGTTCGGTCTCTGTTGTTGGATGTTGGCCCCCTCTTGAGGTGAAATTGGTGCATTGTCACAAAGCTGAAAACAAGGCTGGTTTTCCACTGATGGTTGGGGCATAAAGGTTACAGACTATATAACCGGGGCCTTGTTCAGCTGTTTAAATCGCATATTTGTGTCTTTTTCTTGAAATATTTGAAGTAAAATGCTGCATTTTCAAAATAAAACTAAACTAAATTAAGACCCTAATGTGACATTTTCTTCAGTCTGGTCGACTACAAATAGAAGATAAAATAGCTTCTTGGGTTTTGTCTTTGATTCAGTACAGAGCCATTTTAAAACTGATCTGCATACAGCAGTTTCTTTAAAAAGGCATTTTCTGTCACGATCCTCGCCAGTATCCTCACATATTACACTTCATACTTCATACACTTCATATTAACACAAAAATAGTTTATGCACTTACAAAGCCCAGAAAACAGAGGCAATAGATTATAGCTCACCAACAGCTCAGTCCAAAAAGAGAGAAATCAACAAAATGCACGATAACACCCAACTTACCAATGTTATTAACTCGGAATATCATGCAATTAAATACCATCTACAGCATAAATTGTCGTTAAGTCACCACGATGAAAACTGGAGATTTACATAAACGGCGCGATACTAGAATCTCAACCATTGTCATAATTTCAGTAGTTAACTTGCAATGTTCAGTACACAGAGAATCAATTAAGAACCACAGTAATAGTTTAGCATGCTGCATGGTCTCACAGAGCGGCTCAGAGAGGACAGGGCCGGGGTCAGGGGTCAGGGGTCGGGGGACAACTACACTCCAGAGAAAGAAAATAATAAAGTTCCACTGAGCAAACCAAACAGAAGGGATCATTAAACACACCCACCGGTCGGTGTCGCTCTCTCTGTGAGACTGGAACTGTTCGTTTCACACAGGCAGCCGTTAGTCGTGCAGAAATAAACAGCCACAGGGAATCAGAACACGGGGACGGAGTCATGCTCGTCATTAAAAAAACAAAAAAACAACAAGGGTGAAAGGTTTTAAAAGGACTAATAAATATACTGTACAGTTGAAAGAGCACAACAACAGACTGCAGCCATAATAATACTAGAAGGAAGGAACAATAACTGGACGTCAGAGGAGTAAAAGGGGAGACAGGAGAGCAGCCGCCGCCGGAGGACAGACAGGACGCGGGCTGTAAGAGTTTCCTTTTTTTTTTTTTGGCTGATGTGCCCTCTGCTGTAGCGTAGATTTTGGCGATGGTAGCGTCGGCGTTACAGTCTGTGGTTGAGGTTGTAGAGAGAGAGAGAGAGAGAGAGAAGAGCAAGGTGGGTGTGGAGAGAGCAGGACGACGACCACGATCCTCAAAAACGTATCAGACTCTTCAGACTCCCTGAAGCCGGCCTCCATCCACCTCCGCCTCTCTCAGCACTGATACGCTCTCTCAGGTTATTCCTCCTCTCCGCCCTCCTCTCTGCCTCCTCGTCCGTCTCATATTCCTGCAGCGGAGAGGAGACAAACAGTTAAACATCCTCTGATTAAAACAAATACAAAGATTCATGTGTGTCTGATAAAAGTATATAAATCCTTGAAAAGTCAGATGTGCATTCTGAGCTGTTACTGCTGGAGGCCGCGCAGACAAACAAAAATAAAGTTCACAAAGCTCTTTAAAGACGAGGAGACGAAGGAGAGTTGCTGTTAAATTTCATACTTTAGTGAAAAAGAAAAAAACATTAAGGACCAAAGATTTTTATGTGTAATTTGCAGCCTAATATGTTGTATAACCGTTTAATAAGTAAGTAATAATAACTTTTCCTCTACCTGGTCATCTTTCTTATCTTTTTTTGAGCGACTAACAGTTCTTCCCAATATTTGTACTATACCGTATGTTTTAATTGGATGCTGTGTACATATGGATTGTAAATAATGACAACTAATAGTTCATTTGTACATGGACTGAATGCATGTTGTTGTTTTTCTTACAGCTACTGCTATCATAAAAATGATATATAATAAAACTCAGTGTTCTGTACCTCATCACTGCAGCGGGGCAGCATGAGCGCCCGAGCAGTGGAAGTGGACGTTCTGCCACCGGCTTTCCCTGCGGTGCCATACTCTGGTCTCTTCCGATTGGCTGGAGCGGGGGCGGCCCTGCCCGTCGACGAACTGCGTCAGGCGGATGTAGGCGATGCAGGCGGCGTCGTCCCCGATGATGTGCACATGAGGGTTGAGGATGGTGGTGTGGATGGGTTTGCTGTTCTTGGCGAGGACTGATGGGAGAGAGAGAGAGACAGAGAGAGACAGAGAACGTAGAGTTTAAATTTAACGACGACTCGAGTTTGTGGAAATAGAAATAATTGTTTTAAAAGTCTTACGATTGTCAAAGTAAAATCTGTGGAAGTCCATTCCCTCCACCAGATTACCGAGCCCCTCCGGCTCAAACGAGGTCAGACCAGGGTCGCAGATCTTCCTGTAAAAACACGCAGGATAAGTTCAGAGTACGACCCTTAAATATCAGGTTTAAAGAGGTGAATGTGCTTTTATATCTCCTGTAAATCCTGTAAACACATCTTAGTTAACATAGATGAATCCTCCAAAAGATTGAGAGTCACTCATTCACATTAATTAAACCCAACCACTTAGTTGTTTTGAGTGAATTTTAATTGTGCAGTATTTAAAATATTATAATTCCAGTTTGGTCCATTAAGTTGATTTTATATCATCATGTACCATTTACCATTTTGATTATCAATTCATTGATTGTCAGCTGTTTTTACAGGTAATGTAATAATTTGCTATAGTGGAAGAAAACAAAAAATTTAGTTTAAGTAACATTTGTATAAAGAAGATACATTAAAGGTACTTTAATAAGATAAATAACTCATTTTAAATACGTTTGGAGAAACTTTGGGCGAGTATCTAACAGTAAACACTTTAAATGTTGTATCACATGAAAAATCACGTTTTTATCAACGGTTAAAGTGTGAATCTTTGAAAAATTAGGAAAAATGCTAAAATTGTGTTTATTAAATGTTTTCCATATTACTTTTTACTTCATATTTGTGCATATATTTAACATTCAACTTCTAATGAGTTCATTAATATCAAATACTTGATTGTGTTCCTTGTAGTTTGTGAGTTACAGCCAATTTCTTAAATGTGTGTATGAAACTTTAATGTATATGGAACATTTAGATAGGAGCCCGTCGCATGTGTGTACTTAAAATAATGAATATCCCTAATTTTTTATTGCTTATCCATTGAAATATTTCAGTTGTGGGCACAAATGGGTTAACACATCAACACATCTGGAGGTAAATGGTAATAGTGGAGTAAAAATAACTATATTTACCTCTCAGATGGAGTAGGAGTATAAAGTTGGACAAAATTTAAATACAAGTACCTTGAACTTGTACTTGAGTAAAAGTATTTAGTTACATTAGAGTCTCATCATTTTAGCTTCTGATGAGGATTTTCATTTTTATCATGCATGACTTTTTCCAGACGGAAATGGGCTTCCATCACTTTACCCTCCCCTCCCTCAATCTGCCCAGCATTATAGAGAGAGAGAGAGAGAGAGAGGGAGGATAAAACAGCGACTGTAATGACTCTTTAATCTTTTAATACAAAGATAAAAAAAAACCACATTTGTATGTCCATCACATTAATGGTTCTCTATGGCTGACTCAGAGCTCTGGTGTTCATTTTACAGGATAAACTCAGACTCAAGAAGTTCTCCTGTTTGGAGATGTTCACAGAGCAGGAAATAAAGAGAGCTGAACTCACGCGTAGGCCTCAAAGTCTCCGTTGTTGACAGCTTCAATCAGCTGCTCTGTGATCTTTATGATCTCCTGTTTGCGAGCTGCGGAGGAGAAACCAAACAAAGTGAGACCCATGTGGCAAATTTAACCTCACCATGAAGCTCTGAGAGCGCTCTCCTGCACAAAACTCTGGACCTAAAAACTCCTCCGCAGACACACAAGAGGCTGAACACAGCTCAGACTCACCTGAGAGTTTGTTACTCATCGTGAGTCTGATCGGTCACCTCTCGTTCATCCGTGAGTGAAATCTCCTCCATGCTACTGCGCGTGCAACAACAACAACAAATACTCCCATGCAAGAAGTTGAGTTGTTTCTCTCTCCATGAGCTTTTTTTTTTTCTTTCCTCAAAAGTGAAATGTCTCTTCCTGCTTCGTCTCCATCACATCCCCTGTTTACATGTGAGGCTGCTCCGGCTCATCACGCTATTCTTGTCCCAGCGCTTTAGATGAGATTTACTGTGTCCTTCTCCCCTCACTTCCTCCCCACGCTGACAGGAAGGCTTAGCTCGCTCTGATTGTCTCTCTCTCTCTCTCCCTGTCTCTCTCTCTGCAGTGCAGGAAGTATTCAGATCCTTTACTTAAGTGGAAGTACTAATTCCACACTATAAAAATACTCTGCCACAAATAAAAGACCTGCACTGAAAAACTATTAAACTGTTGTTATATATTATATATGATATCATAAAAGCAGGATTTTACTGGTGCCTGACTGTTGTTGGCAGTGCATGGGGAGTTTTGTTTACAGGATTTTGTTTTAGTTGAGCTAAATGTGAACTATTTTTGTACCGGACTGCACCTAATGATGAAAGAATTTGCCTCAAGCAACCAAAAGTCGGTATTTTATGTTACCTGCTGTGTGTTTTTTACACATTATTATTATTTGTGTTCTATCGATATCCTGGAGTATGTTTTAGTTATATGATGAATATATAGCAATGTGTAAGGTCATGCCACTTTGCATCTGTTTTTGGGGATTACTACTATTACTGAAAACCCAAATAAAAACACTTCAAATACGATTGCGCCTAATGAATATTATTACTGATTATTTTCTCCATTAATCTACTGATTGATTGCTTTTTTGAAATTCTGGAAATAATGAGAAATGCTGTCACAATTACCCAGAACCCAAAGTGACACTTTCCCAATTATTTATTTTATTTATAGTTTATTTGATAGAGTCAGAGTAAATATAGACTGACAGCTAACAGCTATCTGATGCAAGTATCATAGTGTTTATAGCGGATATTAATAATTTCCAACACCCGTCTCTAGAAGGGCTTTTATGAAAATAAGAGCTTAAAACAGAAAGGTACAAAAAAGAGTAAATGGAAACCAAAACAAAGACACCTAAATTAAAGACGACACATTTTAAAACTAAACATGAGTACAGGTTTGATTTGGTAGCTCTCTAAAAAGTGATTAGTGACAAATAACCAGGTAGTCAAACTGTAGGACATATGTGAGAAAATCTATGAATTTACAAACAATGCTTGTTTTTCAATTATAACTAAATACATTAAATCAATAAAAAATTCTTCATATCTTAATGTCTTAATTAATTAATATCCGCTATAAACACTATGATACTTGCATCAGACAACTGTTTTTACTCTGTCTATGTTTACTATACCCTGTCAAATAAACCATAAATAAATTATTTTTATGACTCCTATCACTTTATTTTACAAAAGGGAACTATATCTTAATTTAATCCTACAACCTTGCGCTGTAAATAACCTTCAATCCTTGTATATATATATACTTCAGTGTGTTGTTTCTGGCAAGATTTTAACTTGTGTTGTGTCTTTGAGTATCATGAAAAACGCTCTTATTACTATTAAATCTTTATTGTGTGTGACTCAAAAGGTTGACGGTTCGATCCCTGGCTCCTCCCGCTGCATGTGGAAGTGTCTTTGAGCGAGATGCTGAACCCCAAACTGCTCTTGATGCTGTGTATCTGTGTGTGAATGAGTTTGTTTCTGTTTGTGATGCCCGTCCAGCAGGTCCTCCTGTGTTCTCTCCAGGTGCCAATAACAGTGACTGGTTTCCACCTGTGCAACCGGGCCTTGCTGCTCATTGGTCCAACAAGTCTGAAGCCCTCACTATAAGAGTTCACTTTTTCCACTCGTGCACCAGAGTTATTGGTTGGTGCCTCCTTTGTAATGTTTTGATGAAGCTCTTTTATTTTAGATAAGATAGTTTGTATCTATCCTCCTTTACATAACAAACCTCTGTGTTTATTAGTATTCATTTGTAAAAGGAATGTAAAAGCGGCTTTTGTAAAGTGTTTCGAGTGGTTGAAAGACTAGAAAGGTGCTATATAGGTACAGTCCATGTATCTCTTTTAAATATTCCTGGTTCTAAAAAAAGAAAATGTGTAAGACATCCATATTTGAAGCTAATAAAGAGACTTTGAGGATCAGGAAGTAGGGATATCTTACCTTTCACATCTTCATCCTCAATGGTGGTGTTGCTGCTGTCAGATGATTCCTGCACAGACAGAAATGCTGATTAACATTAAAAAATGAAAACAGACATTCAGACATGCATACACCCACAAGCGCTGATATAAACATACACACACACACGACACTCAAGTTTCTGCCATCGACTCTACAACACGACTCGATCTCAACACCACGATTTGGCCAAAAATACAGAACAGATACAGCTGTAGGTGTGAGTCAGCAGCGACCCCGAACGACCGCACAGCACATGACGTTCAGCCACTGTCACACACAGTCCAACAGCGCGGCGAGGGTTAATCTGGTGGCATTACACACACACAGCAAACCTGAGCTCCATCAGTCTGAAACCACCAGAGGGCCCCAGTGTACGACAACGACACCTCACAGGATCCACAGCTCCAGCTTCTCTCTCGCTTTCATGCACAAACACAAACAGATGCACACGGAGATAAATAATCAACAAAATACACAATTCCTGCAAAAAAAAACAGGTGTTTTTTTTTTTTTTTCATGGCGAGGGCGGACTCTAGCACTGTTGGTATTTTTATCAGATTTGTTGACAATAGAAAAATCAAAAAATAACACAAGGCTCATTAATTTAAATACATCATACAGAAAAATAGAGTAATTCCTGTCTATGATGAAACCTGTGAAATCTATTAGAAACACCACAGTTCATACAACACAACAGTCTAACCAAAATGTTCTTTAATAAATCCTACTAAATGTGACTGTCTCTCTCCTCTCGCTTTTGCTTTGTTGTATAATTTCAACATATCTGAGGAATAATTGACATTTTGGGAAAAAACATGATCATGATGAATCATTTTATCTTAAGCATAAAGACTGAAAACAGAGGGAACAGCTAGCTGGCTCTGTCCCAACGATAACACTTTCAAAAGCTTACTATTAATAATAAGTACAAGAGTTTTAAACTGCTTAAATA